TGACTTATTATTTCCGATTTTTATATTTGGGGTGTTATGGTGCAGGAGGGCAGGCTAATGGGCAGAGGGTTCCGTGAACCTCTGAAAATTACATCGCACTGTAGTGAACAATGATTTAGGACCGGTTATTCACCAGGTTGAACACAAAAAATTGACCATACATAAAATTTTGAATCACCTAAATTGGTAGAACAAATTCTTCCAAAGATAATTCCTGTAGGGAATATATTATATATTATTATTACCAGTTCCACTAGGTGATTTAAACACATCCGCATCCTAAATGGAAAACTAGATTGGAATGGCTGAATGAGGAACCCTTACTAATAATAACGTAAATATTTTATTGAGAGATCACCTAAATATGGGTTCTATAACTATTAATTATTTTGCTTGACAATAAAGAACAGTCTTACGTAAAAAATGTCTTTGAAAAAATACTATAAATGTTGCAGCTTTGGGAGCAATAAAGTCAACTAAAAATCATAGAATCTATTTCGATAATTTTGACAGAACCTGAAATAATTCCATCTTTTGCCGGAGTACTGCAATACCTGTATGTGAAGAGAAGGGATACATAAATGCCATTAAATTTATATGAATTCCCATGATTATAGGTTAACGTACGCTTTATTTTCTTTGAGAAAGAACTTAGAAGACCTCTGAAGCCAGCACCTATTCCGTTCATTTTTTCTTTGACTTCTTATTTTCTTTCTGTATTGGCTCACTAAACTGCTACGCGCTAACCCATGAGTCGTTCCATTGGTGTTAGAAGTAGAATAGTTGCAAACGCGTGAATACCAAAATTTTTTATAGAATTCGCCTGAGGAAATAGGTCGTTTGCACTTCGACCTTGATGGCGCTTTACCTCTCCATCCTCGACAGAACTGTGAATCCCTACAGGAATCATCGATGAGAGAATTAGTTCTAATAATCAAGCGTCGTCATCTTGACGTGTCCCTCACAAATATTCCGTCACGCCAGCATTCGAAACTTATTAAGTACAGAATTGGAGACTGCAGTCAATCGGCAATTGCAGGGAGCATTTCCGTGTAGAAATTGGCTAATGTAAGGCCAGCACCTGCTTACCAACACTCGTTTTTCGAAGGCTAGGCCAGTACACTGGCCAGCATCGTTCGCCGATACGCAATTGTTCGATACTCCGCCAATATGTTGGTCCACATCGATCCAACGATGCTCGGTGGAGCGATGTTGGTTCAATGGTCAAGCGCCGATCTGTTGAATAAATATTCGTTAGTCGATTATTGTCCATTCATGGGCCCCACCTAGTTTCTTGAATATCCGTCACTTGAAATAATCATTGAGTATATATCTATTATAATTAACATTGAATAATGAAATAAAATTTCATTGGAATCATCATTCATTTAGACCGAGGAATAATAATTGCTATTATGATTGTAGTTATTTTTTCATTGAATAAATTACGGAAAAGCTCAATAATCTATTGATGATTAGTTGTATATATATGTATAACTGGCTGAAATTTATGAAGTCGTTTTTATGCTCCTATTACAAGACTTAGATATTAGGTTAGTGGTTAGGGCGTAGGACTAGTGTGCGAAAGATCGTCGGTTTGTGACGGGTACACAATTTGAGTTGGTCGATTAGGTTTTTTCAGGGTCGATATCGTTGCTGCCGTGGTTAAGGATAACTAATAAATCATAAAAACAAGAACATTTTCTTTTTTACTTTTTGTTAATTAAATTAATGATTGCCTCGATAGCCACCCTGATGGTTTATACCCAGAGCTCAACTCTGGGTTTTGGCTAGCAACCCAGTCTGGGTTGGAAAAAAACACAGAGTTGAGCTTAAAGAGTGAATCAGGGGGGATCGAAATGCTGGGTGTGTTACGGTATTTTTCACGTTATTGCTGAATTATTTTAAGTGGATAGAGACATTGTCGACGGATGTGGATAATTGAATGAATATGTTTTCACGATAATGTGCTAGCTCTGGGTAAAGTCCAAAACCCAGGCTTATGATTTTTGTTGATTAAGAAGTTAGCAATGTTGCTGAATAAATCTAGGGAGAACTGTACGTCCAGAACGATCACAGCAGGTGTATTGAAATAAGGGGAAGGGTGGCAAGGATTGTTTGAGGAATGAAATGCCGACTCTGGGTCAACACTGGGTCACGGTTCTCAACCCAAAGTTATTTTCTTTATTTAACGTGTTTTCAATGTTGGTGAATAAATAATCGGGGGAAATCAAAGTCTCTTAAATTTTGTAATCGCTGCTAAACAGAACGGTTGGTCATGTGTTCACATTTAGCCACACTTTTTCGCGGGAAAGCTTCTGCTCTTTTAGAGACTTTTCCACCGAATGATCTGAACAATGTTCAAAAGTTCAAATGTTCAAAAGTTTCGGCAAAGAAAAATATGCAAAGAGTTATTCAAATTAACTCGAAACGTCATGTAGTAGTGGAAACTATCATTCACGAGTTCATCTTGGAACACGAGATGACAACCTTATTTTTCCAGGATTTTTTTGAATCCGGAAGAAAGAGATCATGCGCCTCCATCTTGAGTAACAAGAAATAACGATAGGCGTGTTGACAATCCTGGGTAATAGCAACGGCAAGGGTTCTGAGGGCATATCATTACTGAGAGTGGACCACTGATATTCTACCAATTACATAGTGCAGCTAGCTCGACATGTGGCATGTTCAGTGGCCCGGAAGTTGGGTATACATAAGGTCCCCAAGAGTCGGTTTTTTCAACCCTCCTGGCGTGATTGTAAGCAGGGTTGCTAGAGGGCTGTTTTTTCCAAAAATTCATTTAGGTTCTTCCAGAATAGGTCATTACAAAAAGCTCTGAATGATACATTCACTACATTTTTCGAAATATGTCCATGCTTCGCGTGATCGACGTCGCAACAATCGCTGTCGTAACAATCGTCGTCTGGCAACTCTGATTGTAAGGCCATTTTTCTTGTAATATCCTAGAAATACATTTTTACAATCTCTCTGCCAGCATTGAATAATTAAAAAATTCACCACCCTCCTTATAAAGAGACTCAAATCGAAAACTATTTTACAGATTGAATCGCAGTCGAACTCATTTAAAAAATGTTGCCTAGCAAAATTTTCTGTGGCGCTGGTAGACATTCAGCGACAATTGTTAAACACGTAACCAAGAAAACTTGAAAAAAAAGTCAGCCGACTTTTAGAGAAGAATACATAATATGAGGAACAAATTATAAATTTTGAAATCAATTTGATGACTGATAATCTTGTAACGCTTTTTCTGGAGTGCGGCTATCCCACTGGCGATCCCAATCCACACCCGTACCACCCTAGCCCTAGGCTCCCCTAACTGCTCTCTTGTTTTAAATATTCGTCAGGTGCCAGGTGACTTTGTTCACCCAGTGTCACCCCTGGACGAGACCGGGCTTTTAACCTGCGGCTCGGAGAAACCCTTTTCTGCTGTGCTTTTGGTGTATGCCAGATTCGCCAACTGGCCCCTTGATGCTCCCTACTTACCCCCATGTACCGCGTTTTTATCCTCCAGATCCGCTAACTGTTCCCCCCGGGGACGCGAGGCTAGGATGGGGTTACGTGCCCGCGCTGCTCAGGATGTAGGTTTTGGAGAGAGGGCGGGGTCCAGGGATCTACTCAACTCCGCGTGATTTATAGTTTACCATCTTTATTTCCTGCTTCAGGTTTCACCGGGTCAGGCGGGATCTACACTCACACTCACACTCCACACTGGCTCTATCACACATTTTCTAATAACCTCGTGTCGACGGCGGGGGGACGGGGCTTACCTGGGGGGTGGCCCTACACCTGCCCCTGGGAATTGAGCTTCTTGCTCCCCGGGCTGGGGTGGGTTGCCCCCGGTACCGATAACAGTTCCCAGGGTCGCCCCGGGGCTAAAAAGCCTCCTGGGCTACCCCTGGGGCCACTCCTCGGCGCGAGTGCCCCTCCGGGCACCTCGGGCCAGGAGGTGGATGTTCCGGGCAGGACCTCGCGGGCTTCAGGGCCTCGCTGATCGACTCCCGTACACGTGAGCTCCCCATCGCTGCCCAACGTCGACTCTCCTTCACGACTCCGTTACCGGCGGTATCCTCTGGCTCTCTCCTCTTCGCGAGTTGCTCAGGAGCGGAGAATAGTCTGCGCGGCTTGCCCCCCGGAGACTTTCCACCTGGTACTTTTCGCTGCTGGGTATCCTCGCGACGATGGGTTTCGTATCGCGACGAGGCCTCCCATCTTCGGTGGTCCATCCCCTCGACAGTTGGGGGTGCGGGTCATCACTTCGACGTAGCCACGTGTCTCCTCCCTCACAGATCCGTGCCTGGTCTGCCGTCTATTTTTGTCTATCTTGCCTCTCGCCAGCCGGGCCCTCTCTAGGCGGCTGATCTCACGGGGCACGTATTCGGTAGATAACTCCTGGCAGCTCCACGATATCCTGCGGTATTCCATTCCCGCTGCCTCTGCTTGCTTTTATTCTATCCCCTTCTCTACTAACTCCTTCCCTATTAATTTTACCTACTTCTTCACACATTCACTCATTCCTCCGTTCCCGCCTGCCAGTATTTTATTTCACTGTAAAATTCTATTTCTATCTCCTGTCTTCTCTTTTTCATTTGTCCGCACGGGTGATGAATTTTCACGGGGTTCATCACAATCTAATCTGATAAGTTATAACTAAAAGTGAAAATTTTTATACGATAAAGGTTGGTGAACCAAAAACATCGTTCCTCATATCCAGCATCATGTGCTTCATGTCTTATAGCTAGTAAACCCACAGCTCGTAAGTGTTACCTCGTCCTTGTAACTTGTGATCAAAAAGTTTTATACACAGAGACTAGAAGTTCAATAAAAATTGTACGAAATTCCATAGTTCAGAATTCAGGATGATGTTTCCATAAAAATTATGGACTATTCAGTAATTACGTACCGCAAGGTAGTAAATCCTAATTCAATATCTGATTTAATGCTTAACAAATCTGATTTAATCTGATGAATTTACGATGCAGGCATAGAAATAGCTGGTGATATGTGCAATGCTAAAATTAATGGAGCATACATCGGTTCGACCCATTTGGAATTCTATCCGAAATCCTTGTCGGAAAAGCGGGAATTTTATGCTGATACCCAGACGGCGGGCTGCATCTCTCTACTAGCTCAAGTTGCAATACCAATTGCTTTATTCTTGCCAGTTGATAATTGTCCTATCGTGCTAACTCTAAGAGGGGGAACCAACGTCCCCATGGGTCCTCACATCGAGTATCTTACTGAAGTCTTCAAGCCCTGCCTCAATAAATTCGGAGGAGACTTTGATTTCACTGTTGTACGAAGGTAAAATATGAAATCGTTTCTAAGAGTAAATTAAATGAATTTTTATGAAAATTTCACGAAACTTGAGCTTCCAATCTATCAATCTATCAATTTTTCATTAGACTGTTTTAATTGCATCAGGGGGTATTACCCGAAAGGTGGTGGAGAAGTAAAGTTTTGGATAAACCCTTTGAAAAATTTGAAACCAATTGAATTGATTAATCAAGGTCGTATCAAAGGAATTTCGGGATGGGCATACGTAGCTGGTTCAGCGCATTTAAATGTGAGTAAATGAAAAATAATGAATGAATGTACATGTAATTGCAAATTTACTTTCCTAAATTTGAATTAATTTCGATGAAAAGCGCAGCATAAGCGACATACTCCTTTCAATTGATACTTCATAGAAAAAAGAGAAGCCATTTATGCTTGAAATATTTTTACATCTGTGATATTGACGAATTCGATATTCACATTTATTACACTCATTGAGTAATCCCGTTCATGATTTCATTCCATATGTCTTTCTTAGAAATTACTCATTTCTTTCCAATGAATTTTTCTAAAGGAGGCGTATCGGATGGCCGAAAATACTCAAAGCTCCCTCTCTACAAAATTGAAGGAGAAAGGAATCGCCGTACCTCCAATAAACATTGAGGCGTATAGGGAAGATAGAAACGTGGCTGCGGGTTATGGATCTGGTATAAAGTGAGCGACAACAATCTTATTTTGAGAGTTCCTTGCAACTTCTATTCTATTATATAATCTGCTTGCAGTGTCGTATGCCATACTGACACTGGATGTGTATTTGGAGGCTCAGGTCTGAGATTCATCAAACGAGATGGCGTGAATCCCGTTCAGGAGGCAGTTGGGCAAATCATGAATCCTCTAATCCATAAGTCATGTGTGGATACTTATATGGAGGATCAAGTACGTAATGATTTTTTTATTATTGTCAAAAGTTTAGGTGTATACATGGACATAGGATTTTTTAAAATTGAGATTAAAAAAAAATCTCCAATGATCAGGAATATCAGACGAGAATGAAACTTATTCAGAAAATATTGAAAAATAAGTACTTTTTCCTAGAATTGATGATAAGAACTGAAATCAAATACAGCCAAGAAAAAACACAGAATTTCAGAAGAATCTTAAAAATTGTACGCTGCAGAAATTAAATCAATTTCCCTAAATTAATCATGAGAAAGCTGAAATAAATGGTACAATATCGGTAAATCCAGATTTCGAGTCTATAGAATTCCCTATGGATTCTTACTTCACAGAGAAATAATTGAAAATTCATCGTTTGTTGTTGATAATACCGTGCAGTTGTTGTCGGTAATATGTTGTGATGAGGCCGAAAGGTAATCCATATGAAAATTCATTTCTGCATTTGACGTAATTAGGAAATAATTAACGAATAGGTTTAAGGAAATGAAAAATTCTCGTATTGTTAGGAATTTGTGACGTGTATTTAAATTTTTTGTCATGAAGGAGAGTTAGTTCTCTGCTACACTCCAATGCCGCTGTCCTACTAATTGTGGAGACGAAGAAATTCGATAAATAAATACGGGTAAAAAATCGGGGTAAACCGTCTCAAAATCCCGAGGAAACGCCAGTTATTCGTGGGTGGCCTTGGGTAGCGTGCGTACCGTTATAGTTTCGAGTATTTCCCTGATTCCGCTCTGCTCCCCATTGAGCGACAACTCCGGCCCAATGGCCTTGGAAAAATCTCGTGTCGGAAAACGGATATATCTCCGTCCTCGTGCACAGTGGAATTCTCCAATATTGGGAGGATATCCACGAGTTATCTCCCTCGTTGGTAGATTGCGAAATCGATCGGATGAACGGATGTTGCGTTTGAGAATTTTAACTGTCTGTTAACTCGGAAACGAGCGAATAAATTGTATCGGTTTCGAAACCCTTCACACGCCTTCATTCACGGAAAGTGATGGCCTACATTTGACATTCAGCTGAATTAGGAGTTCGGTCAATGCACCGAAGCATTTCTCAATCGATTCAATAGTTAATCGATCAGTCTCGTCCTAGATTCATCAAGTAACGTACAAAGGGGCGAACTCCTCGAGGTAGATCGATACTTGATTCCGGAGAATCCCGGAAAAAATATCCCACACATTCAAAACGTGTTAAAACTCGCTCAATTTAATTATTTTTTAATTTAATTATTTTTTTCGGTGTCTATTTTTTCAGGGGCTCTAATTTTCTAATTTAATGTGTGTGGGCTATTTTTTCCGCCTACCGATTCCGGAATTAGTTAAATTTTCTCTGCCCGACGCTTATCATCTATCATCTAATTATGTATAACTTCGTAGTGATCAATCCTATGTTATCGAAAATGAAGTAACTCTTCACGGATCCGGCAAATGAGATGCAAAATAGCTCGATCCGGTTCATCCCAAGAGGAGTTCTCTACAATGACACATTGATCAATTATTAAAGTATCAATTGTGTATCGATTGTTTTTTAACGATCGCCTCGAATACTCAGAATAACCCTAACCTATTGCTCGAAATCCCAAAACACGGCCAAAATCATCACCTTCGTTCTCGCAACTCCGACAATTCTGCAACGACAAAACCATACGAAACTTAACTGAAACTCCGGGAATGGTTAGCAGCTCAGTCCATTCTTAAAATTTGGTTTAGGGAGCCAGCCGACTTTTGGCATCGCGGAATCGGCGAACCGCAACCGCAACTATATCCGTACTTAAAACTAACATTTCACTGATCATCCCCAGATATTCCTAACAATCGAAACTAAACTCAGGACTGTTCGGTTGCTCAGTGTGCGGGTCGTGGAGAGAGGGGTGAATTCGTGGGCGAAAACCTCAAATAACAATGGCGAACTAAGATCAAGAATTGAGCCAAAATCCAGAAATTTATAGCGACGGGAATTCGGGTAGGGACAATGAATGTTACTCAAAACTATGCTTACGTGTTTTACTATTGACTAGAAAATTTCATATAGAAGTAAAAAAAAAACAATAATAATACTAAGGAGAAATACAAGACATTTTCAAACAAGAAATACAGAAGAGCGACTGGATTATATCCGAGTTAGAGAATCACTTGTAAGCAGGAGTTCCTGCGAAAAAGGTAGGGAACTACATTAGTTTGTTGCAAGGGTGAGAGAGATTAGCGTAGAGTTCGAGCCAGAGAGAGAGAGAGAGAGAGTCCGATTTTTCAAATAGTTTTTCTATGGATTGACAAAATAACGTACGAGTAGGTAGCAATACCAGGTCATTTGGTAGCGCCTTACTCCTAATTGGGCAAATCCCGGCCTATTACCTAATTCAATATTATCGGTATTGCAGAGTAGGTAGCCATCATGCACCCAAATAAAATTATCAGGTAGCGCAATCAACTTCCGTTTCGGAAATTTTGATAGCGAAAGACTCGACCGCTGGCCAAGTTAGACTTAGTTGTGCCGTAGATATTCACTCTAGGATCCTAATGATTTCCCTGGGTAGCGAAACGGGTCCCTTACCGTAGATAGCCTTTAGGTAACTCGATTTTCCGGTAAGATAGCTCAATTGGGGAGTTTGATAGCCCTCCTTTTACCCGAATAAAATTTTGAGTAGTAGGATCGAACGGTAGGTAGTTAATTTATTCCCAGTAACGAATCCCGGGGCCGGAATAGACGAGGCTATTCGTCCTTAAGGGGTTGCCCTCACTATCCTTAGACTTGGGAAAATCAATCATAATTTTCCGCGATATTAGGCGGTCGGATCGATGGGCTATAATGAAATTTCGCGAGGGTAGAGAGGTAATATCTGTAACTGTCGTCTCTATTGTTCACCATTGGGCGCCAGCAAGGTTCTTCTGGAAAACCTGACGAAAACCAGCCGCGGAGGAAGTTCGTCGACTCCGCGGACTTTCAGTGACGGATCTCACAATGCCGAGCCAGCATCAGCATGACATGGTAGAGTAGGTGAGGTTGACTACCATCCGAGTAACTGTGGTCACCGACTTCAGCCGCCATCACGGCGTCGTTAAACGAGAACTATTGGGAGAAGTACTCCCCAGGTCTGTGGTGGAGGGATGTTGCCGTCCCTCACACCCCTTCCACTCTCCTCCAGAGTGACTCGACCCCGAACAAGACAGAGATTACCTGCGAATCCTTCTCATCCCACAGGGCGCTAAATATTTCGAGGCAAATGCGACATTGGTATCCGGAGACCTTTTCCACCCACCCAATGTTCACCCCAACTTGAGGATGCTTAGTAACAGCAATCTCACCGCAAGCCAAAACTATAGCTACTTCCCATGGAGGCACGTGCGATCAGGCCGACGAAAATCGCCTGGATGCCCAATCCTTTATTCACCCCAACACCATGAGTTTCACCCTGGAGATTAGTCTCTGCGGCGGAAAGCGTTCACTCCGCAGCCACAAAGTAATCCATTTCATTAGTCGGGGACGCAGAAGCGTCCCCATCTCTCGGTATTCCAATCTAGGATCGGGAACACGTATCCATCATAACCCCCAAGGAGATTATTGCCACCAACTGGTGCCAAGCTCCTAAAACATCTGACATCGACACCAGCGCTTCACTCCGATTGCCTCGAGATCTCCCAGGGCCTTCTCCTTCTAGCCTGAACCTCTCGACGTCTCTGGGCCATCCGTTACCTTACAGCCAGCAATCAACTCGACGGCATCACGGGGGTACTAGTGCTTCCACCTAGCAGTTGGTCCCTGGTCTAAATCGACGGTGCCCTTTAGAATCACCCTGTTGGAACGCATATACGTCGGCCCTTGACTCCCTAACACAGCTGGGTGAATTTCCAAAATAGGCGAGAACTATCGTCAGCGTCATCATAGTGTTCCGAAACATGGTTTTACCCTACCACGTTTCTTCTCACTATGTGGTTGGTCGCACTTACCTTTGGAGCGGCCTGATTGGTCGTCATCCCATGCCCTAGTCATCCTTTCGGCTTGGCTTTGTCAGATGTCTCTGCCTACTAACAGTACCTTTTTCTAATGACTTTAATTAGTAACGAGAAAATCTCGTTACAAGCTAATTCTAGTCTTACCCTAGATACGTCGGCCGGTTTTGTGGATTCCAACCATAATATCATAATTCACAAAAAGATAGCGTCCCCATGCCCAACCGGAATCACAGTTCAGTTCATTTCGACTTTCTATGGGAAGTAGAGTTTTAGGCAATGGAAATTATTCCAATTGATAGATGAGAGTTCCATTATGATCATATTCAAACGCATATGCTAACTTCTATCCGGAAAAATTATAATTAATTACCCACAATCGCAGTTATGTCGCGACCATGCTACGGACAAAAAATAGAACTATGTACTATTAATACTATGTAGCTCGGAAAATTTTCTATTGAATGCAATCGGGATAATATAATAATAAAATATGAATTACAATTATTAAATAAAATATGTGTAGTTAATTAATAATGAATTTAACTACTGATCTTGGCGTAACCGTCAGGCCAAAGCATCAACTGATCGTTCCTCTAAGTCGGAAGGGAGACGGGCCTGAGTTACGTGATGCATGCTAAGCGGAAGAGATTTAAACCAAAGCCCGGCAACTTGGGCTCATTGGGCTCACGCGGATCCACTTAACGAAACTACCTGCTCTAATACGATTTTTCTCTCTCCTTGAGTCCTGGTTCGACCGATACCGGCAGAGGGCGATCGTGCGATCGACCGGGAATTCTCAATTTTCCGTAAATGTGAAATATAAATGTCAATTTTGCACTCTAAATAGGCAGTAATATTAAGAAAAACAAATTTTCTTAATGCTTTCATTTTGTGTCCAGACCCTATTTGCAGTAATTCAATGAAATAGAACAATTGTCTAAAATTCTGAGGTGGAGCAATAATTTTACCAAATAATGCGAATAATTCGTGGATAAATAGGTGTTCTGGGGAAAATGAATATAA